GAGAGAGAGAGAGTAGCATGAGGCCCCTCTCTCTTTCACTCAGGCATGGAGAGAGAAAAAGGAGAAGAATGGAAAAGATAAAGGGGGAAGGGTGTTCTAGCATGAGGGCCCTTTCACTGAGAGAGAGAGCATAGCATGAGACCTATCTCTTTCACTGATGCATGGAAGGTGGGGAGTGGACAGTGGAGGAGAGACACACACACTACTTCTGATTTGTCTCGTCTCTCACACAACTATTATTGTCATCTCCCTCCCCCCTTACCCAATCTCCACCGTCCATTGCCCATATGTCAGTGTTGGATAGTGGATGCATGGGGGGCTCATATCTATGTGCCATCAATGTACTGTTCCAACCAAATGCTTAAAAGGCATGAAGTTTGTCTGTGAACTATGTGACAAGTGGGGTCCGGTTATTGCTTTACTATATTTTGGGACTATTCATATAAATTACATGTTTTAGAAATTTATAAATATATTTTTGGAACTGTTTGGAATAATTATTATGTTCCAAATATTTGAGTAAATTATTATTTTTTTTGAATTTTTCATGTAATATATTTTGCAAGTGGCATAGATGCAAGAGACGCATGTCTACAGTGGTCCTAAATGTATCAAGAACGTGTACTCTATGCTCCTGTAGGAGCATGCTATACACCTGCAACCTTAGTCTGAAGATTTACTAGGGAGGACACTTTCAATTTCAAAATTTGGGCAACACGTAAGAATCACGAGATTTCAAAAGAAAAAAGTTGATTTGTGAGTTCGTTAACACTTGGATTTAAACCTCCAAAAAGTGGATAGCGTCGGTTTAATATTGAGAAATCATCAAGTGCATAGATTGCTATGAATTTTTTTTTAAATTTTTTTTATTGAGGTTAGTCTGTGGGTTGCAGTTAGGAATTTTTTTTAAAAAAATATATTGAGGTTAGTATGTGGGTCGAAGATGGTACATCCCCAAAATTTAGAGTCCTAAAATTATTCCTCTATTAAGTTTTACATAAAAGAGTAAGTGGGAGTGCCCAAGCGAGGTGGCTGCTTCGCCTACTTTTACCTGGACCCTATGGACTGCGTATGTGCTAGGCGGTCCGTCTTCAAATAATTATTGAAACTGCTTATTCCAGAGTGAGTAGGGTATCTTTGTGAACCCTAGAAATTCTTTACTGAAGTCACAAGAAAAAAAAGTAGGGAGTTGACTAGGGTATCTTTGTGAACCCTAAAAGTTCTTTACTAAAGTCACAAAAACAAAAAAAAGGTAGGGATCAGAGCATGTTGGATGATGGACCAAAAGAAAATAACAAAAAGTACGATTAATAGCAAAAAGTAGGGAGCAGATCATGTTGGATGGTGGACCACATAAAAACTTGGGGTCCTGAGCCCTCAGATCAGCCCCTAAGAAAATATCGAAAAATATACAAATTAGTCCTTCTAATCTCTAAAAAAACAAAACTACATAGCGCATATATATTACTTGTATTAATGTGGCAGTAATCTATTTCATTAATCTCAGTTAGATGTTGTAGATTTGGGAGACCCCCTTAAGATTATTTTTTCCTTTAGACTATTGAAATCCGCCAGAGATTAACTTGATGCGTTTTCTTAAAACAAGAAAAAAGATTTTGAGTAAGATGCCAATCTGAAAATCAGATGATTTCATTTCAATATTAGATTTATTATTTTCATGAAAAAATACTCTTTAAGTAAGGTTTTTACTAGAGCAAGTATTGGTCTTTTGGCATAGGGTATGCGTTCTCCCTCCAAAATTCATCCGAGAAATAGATTTTGTTTCAAAATTTTGGGGGTCGATAATCCCGACCATGGCAATCATGAAAATGGACGAATTTTTAAATTAAAAAAATTCTCTATCTAAACTTGTTGAATTAGAGAATTAGAGTTCTCTAACGTGTTCTCTCCAATTGATCATCTCGATGTTGAGATGTATAATTATGAAGAGACAAAGAATTTCAAGTCCTAAAATAATATGTCGTGTATAAAGCTATTTGGACCGTCTAAACTGTAGTTAGCAAGTCTCCGTTTAAAACATGATTTTTCAAAATGAGTTTTTAAAAGATCTTCAAATAATCGCGTTTTGTAATTGAACCGATATAAATATGTCTTTTATCTTTTTTCAAAGAAACTTTTCAAAAAACCTCTTCCCGATAACTTTATTTCTTCATCAACTTAGTATTATTGAATTTTGGTTTAAAATTAAATACATTATTAGTAGGAGTAAATTAAGAATCTTGATTTAACAAAAACTTTCATAAAAAATTTCACCATTGAGTTCGCTTAAGAAAAGTGTATGAAAAAATAGAAGCAATATATTTTCCAAAAAAATCTAATCAAAGAAATCGTATAATTCCAAATAACAGGGAGAATTAGAAGAAGAGTAACAAATGAAAAGCTTTTTTTTTAAACCCATAGCGTCCTTATATATAGCAAGAGAGATGCAATGACACTAAAGATTGATGTAGCTACGAATTTAGTACAAGATTTGAATTTGTTTAAGCATTTTGTTGCTTTTTTTATCCATAAAAAAGTTTGATTAATTTTAGTTTTTATTTTTTATTTCATTGATGTATACTGTGAAATAAAAGTATATATTGTTTATCTGGTTAATATAAAAGTTGTATATAATAATATGTATATTTTGAGAAAGACAGATACAATATCTTGTATTTATATAAATATAGAGTATTAGAGCTAGATTCATCTTTGTGGTATCCATTGAGTTTGTCTATCTGATCCGGTCCCGATTTGACCAACCTGTTTTTTTTTTTTTTCCCTCGGGATCTTCTACCTACTTTGAAATTGACCTTCTCGAATCCGATCTGATAAGTCCCCTGTGAAAAATTTCTCTCTCTCAGATCTATGTTTTTTTTCTCTCCTCAGTATCCTTGGGTCCTGTTTTGGAACTTATCAGTATTAGAGAGCTTCTTCCTCATGGCTTATGGAGAAAACAACCCCTTTAGAAAACCACTTAGAGAGAAACCATTATT